TCTCTCTCTCGCAGCCAAGGGTGCAAAGTGCCCTTCCCCTCTTTACTTGGCACGTTACACTCCATGAATTAATGTTTATTGTGTCGGCCGAGAGAGAGCCACCCGCAAACTCCAGTCTCTTTTTTAATAGAGACATATTTATTTCAATAAAAAATGGAATACATGAAATGTTTTCATTTCTAAGGAACAGGCACGAACCGTGTAACCGAGATGTTAAAATCAATACATGTAGGCCTATCCAGCTAGATCTACATAAGATTTCTGCCTGTCTGTCAGGACTAGTCCTGGCTGAGTGGGATACGAGTTTAAATTCCTGCAGACAAACGGAAACATTAATTGATAAAACAGCTTTTCGATACGAGAATTGAACACTCGTATTTTTGAAGTAACAGCGAGGAGCCTAACCTTTATACCAATACCACAGAAAAAAAACCCAATTATTTTTTAAAAAGTTACCTTACCTCTTCACGTATCCTGAGAAGTGTGAGTAACAATAAAGCCTACAAAAACCAAATGAAACTACATGTACATACGACTGAAAATCCTGGTACAATTTAAAAACGTCTTATAAAATACGGATAAGGGATGGTCGGGTTTTCCTCTGCAAACTTTGTAGGTCGAAGAACAAGAGTTTACCCGGGAACAGATCTCTCTCTCTCTCTCTCTCTCTCTCTCTCTCTCTCTCTCTCTCTCTCTCTGCTGCTGCCTCACCCACCCCTGTCTCTCTGTCAGTTTTTCCTCCCCCAAAATAAACCCAAGCAGCCAAACAAACAAAACTTGAATTCTTTCTAGCACAGAAATATAAACAGCTTAGTAAATGTTTAGGAAATAGTCTGCCCACCATTGTACTCCCAAAGAAGCTCTTCAGCACTTCATTTTGGTAGAGAACCACTTTGATCCAAATATGTCAAGTACCAAGTATGGAAGAGCTAAGTGACACATCTTCGTGGCTTCAGTACATTATTCGAGTGGAGGACCTTATTCTACTTATATTAGGCTACTACCCTACCCGATCCCATATTATGTGTTTTGAAATTTTTATATAACGTGTTCTCTTAACATTTAATTAGAAGAAGAGTGTCTAATTGGAAGGGGGGGGGGGGGCAAAGAGGGGTTGTGTTGGTATAAGGTCAATCAACTAGTCAAGGAGGACTTGACTGAAATAGAGCTTAATGAAATAGAGCTTAATGAAATAGAGCTTAATGAAATAGAGCTCCAGGGTTATTTGATTGCAATTCTTTTGTGTCCCCATCGACACGCGTTACAGATGATCATTACGGTTTTCAACGATAATTTGGCCAACCATTCAGACTATTCTTAACTGGTGCCTGTTGTGTAACAGTTAGACGTGCGTTCAGTTTAAACGTAGTCTTTTTTCTTACGGTACGTG